ACTCTTTCCAGAATTTACACTAGGGGTTATTTATGAGAGGAAGGAACGAACAAAACATGGCTTTGATTAAGCATCTCTAGGCAGGCATTATAAAGTGAGATGTTAAAATTTCACATATGTCCCTGTTTGGCACATTTTGCCATGGAGGAGGTTTGTATTTTGCACTGCAGATTTATTTGATGAAAAGCAGCCTTGGGGAGCAGGGACTGTGTCTTCGCTCTGCATGGGGGTGTCCATAGGGCCCAAAGCATATTGCTTATTTACTCTTCTCTAATGAACTGTTTCTTTGCTGCACCATGGTAGATAGCTAAGAGGAGGGTTTGAAGATCCACTGCCCTTTGGTTAGGTCAGTTATTTGGGGACTGAATTCAGACCATCTCATGCCAAAGGAGCCTAGGGCTCCAGCTTTGCAGGGTGTTATTGGAGCTCCCCAGCTGGTGTGTGGAAGGAGATTTTTGGTCCCTGTATGTTCAGACCCTCTGTTTTGCCAGTGCACCAACACCTGACCATGTTCCCCAGCCAAACTCCAGGCTTCTCTGTAGGTTTAGCGCAACGTTTTCAGGTAGCTAAACAGAGTATGTTGTGGGTTGTCCTGCTAGTGGTAGTTGCATCCACTCTGCCTGTAATAAAAACAAAACATCTGAAGTGCCTGTAAAGTAAGATCTTTTGATCTTTGGCAGAACAGTGTTATGTTTCCTGCTATCTAAAAATAATTTCTTTACAAACTGCTGTAAATGAAAGGGCTTGTTTAACCTTCTCTCCTCACTCATGCTGATTTAGTTCAGGAAGTTTACACGAGTCAGTTTGTGGGCTGTTTTGAATCCCATTCTTCAGTCCTTGCTCAGGAAAGCATGTTAAAATTCTGTCAGGTATTCTCATTGTTCGCATAAAACGAATTTTTCCTTAAGTAGGAACTGGGTTAAAAAGTATTTCCCGACTCATCTCGGTGTTTAAAATGTGTCGAACTGAAAGCTGTAAAAAGTCCCCAAATGAATTGATGCAGCTTCTTGATGAATTAGTATGAAGGTAAAATCATTCTGTCGATGAAGAATGATTGAGTGTTTCAGCTGAAATGTAATTGTAAATGAAGAATGAGGCTAGAAGTTTCTGTGGTGGTGTCACAGACAGCTTTGTTAGAATGAAATACAGACATTTTATAACAATGTAGTATTGTCTGCTGATTGCTGCGCTCTCTGATTTGGACTCGGTGTCGTGGTTAAAAGGGAGAATCTCTCCATTCCTGGTAAGGCTCCTTGGCTTCAGGTCAGAGGGGGGTTTGGCCCCGTACAGCTCAGAAAGGGCACACAGTCTGGCTGTTCCACACCAGAAACTGCTGCTGCTCTGCCTCTAATGCTTCTCCCCCTCCATCCCAGTGGAGACAAACATGGTGATGAGGACAGGGTGTGTCTAAAGGTGTAAAGCAAGTGAAAATGTTAGTGTTGGCTGGTAGCATTTTGTATGTGACCAGTTTTTAGTATGTGCTTGTTCTGTGCTTTCTACACTTTCTAGTTTCTAATTTGGTGTATTGCTCTCACAGCTGTACACACACCAAGGTGCACACGCAAACGCTGGACTAAATACATTGATTCCATGCAGGTAGACATAGAATACGAGGGAACTCATATGGGTGAAATTTAATTGTGTCTGCATATGTTTACATTGCTGCTGTTAATATTTTGGGCCTGATCCAACTGTTCTAACTTAGGCAAATTCTCATTGACTTCAGTCCAAGAAAGAATTATGGCACTCGCTGCACCTTGGGATGTTTATATGGAGAGGGAAGAGAGAAGAAAGAGAGCACTAAATTTTTTTTTTTAAATGCTTGGTTTGTAAAATTCCATTTTATTTTAAATTTGAACTTAGATAAGAAAGAGGTGGCATGTTTACCAGCCCACAGAGTTTTCCATTGTATTAATAATTTGCACTGCATTTACATCAAAAAAAAAGTTATACGGCTAGCAAAAAACTCGGGAAGGTGCCCGATTACTTATTGTTTTGCTGTTAAATTCCAAAGGAGGCAAGAGTAACAAATGTTCAAAGCAATCTCTAAGGATATTTTTTACAGCATTTTGGATACACAACTGATTGTGCGCAGCTTTGTAAATAATACTTGATGACTACACCAGATAGCACAATAAGATTCACTATCACTTAGAAGGAACAGCATGTTGCATCACTTGGCATGTGAGGTCAGGTACCTGCATATAACTGCACTGGGAATATGGTGATATTAGTGTTGCATTAAATCAGTGGATGAAAAAGCCCCCATAGACCCAAGAAGAGTTTGAGCTTTGTCTTCATTTGATCCCCTGGTTAAGTCTCTGTAAAACATTGCATGTAAAGGCAGCTGTGTGTAGGACCTTTCTGGCAAGGTATGAAGGTTCAGCCAGTTTTTTTTGTCCTGTGTGGCAAATCTTATGGTTGTACATTGGCTACTCTCTTACTGGCAGGAATAGAAGATATCTTACCAAACCTGCGTGTTTGCTGCCTTAGGGTGGAATTGCTCTTACGCTCCATTGCATGGATTCCAAATACTTCTGCTTTATATTGGTGAAATTAGTTGCAACCTGTATTTTTGTCACTCTAACAATACTTAGTTTTAATGTAGGGAGTTTTTGGCCTCAGTAGAAGCTTTTCCAAGGGTTGAGACTTTGGGATAACATATGAAACTTATTGAGGCAAACATCTGTACTGAACATTTGCTTGAACAGTGCCTCATAAGAGGTTAAAACTGTGTTTCTGGCCCTTCCTGTGTAAAAATTATGGTTTACTTCACATTATGTTCCATAGCAGTACGTAATAAGTACTATCCTAACATAGACATTTTAACTGATAGAAAAGTAGGCTAAATCATAGATCATCCACCTAACCCTGCAGGCTATCAAAAGACACCATGAAATGGAACCTTTTAAGAAAATAGCACTGCTTTGATATCTTCTTCCCCCAGTAACAAAGGAAACAACACAAGGTAGAAGCCCTGCAAGCTAAAGAGAATGTTCTTCAACCCCTAGCTCCTGTCACTTTCCATTTTTTAACCACAGACTGACACGTTTCAGCTCGAATTTCCTGACTTTCAGCGGTTTATGTAACCATTTTCTTTAAAGAGTAAGTTTAAAGGATTTTAAAACAGTTACTTGGTTAACCTTTTCAGGAGTGTGAGTTGTCTGTCACTAAGCTTAATTTTCACCGTTTAAAAAGTGAAACATGGAATTTTTTCTGCAGCTGGTTGTAAGATAAAATGTGTAGGCGAGGCAGTGTGGTCTCCTGCAGCAGCAGACTTTCTCTGCTTTTCCTCCATGGCTGTTTTTTGGGGTAAGCTGATCTCAAAGTCTCATACTCTTCTTTGTTTAATCAAGAAAGAGGGGGAAGCACACCGTGCTCAAGTCCTGGGAAGTTAAAGTACAGGAGCTGTGGTTGACATAGCTGAAGGAGCAAAAGGAGGTTTGAAGTTACAGGTCAGTCATTGCATGATTTCCTCCCAGGGCAGCAGAATTCAGCTTGCAAGCAGATCAGGAGTTACAGCTGCCCTGAGCAGGCAATGGTGTCTCAAAAGAAAATTAACAGCTCAACTATCAGCAGTTTGCAGCAATGTGTTCTGATCTATGAATAAAAAAAAATACTTAAGAACAAAACTAGAAAGGGACTGAATATCCTAATGTGAGTTGCAGGTGCTTAGTCCATTTCCATATCTCTCCCATTAATCTTACTTGGAGAGCTCATAGTTCTCAAACAGAAGTTTTGTCTGTGTAAGGGGTTCAGGGTTAAACTCTTAAAAGCACCAACAAATAGCTCTTTCTATCTCTGGTAGCAAGCTTATAATACAAGCTGAAAAGTTGCACTGTCTTACTTTCTCACATTTAGCAAGCTGTATTTCTGAGCAACTGGGAAGCCCCAGAGTTTAGGAGAAGGCTGTCCCATGCTCCAGAGGAGAACTAGTAACATGAGCAGAAGTAGTGCTCTGCCTTAGCAAATGAAGTAGAATTCATTATGGTCACTTGAGTGACCATAGTTGGTCTTGCTGTCTGGTCTTGATAAGTAAAAGGGCTTCTCTTGGTTCTGCATCCTGACAGAATAGAAAGCCATACTATTCTACACGATATGCATTGTATTCTGCTGGGAAATTACTTTGTTCAGGGCACGGATTGTTTTACTGTTTCAGAAGGAGTACTGCATTTCTGTGGCAAGCCTCTTTTTCAGCAGTATATTCTGCAAATTACCCATATCGTGTTGTCTAAGGCAAAATTGGCAAAAACTCCAGTTTTGTGCAGTAGATAAACACTAAAAGATGCCTTCTAATAGTCTGAGCCTTCTAAATATTTTAAGCATTTTGGCTTTTTTTTGATTTTACATGCCAGTTCAACTTGGCTAAAGTAATGAATATGTATGTAACACTAATTACTTTGCTGGAGTTGCTGAAGATACCTGCCAGCACAGTAGAGAATTAAAATTTGTCTTCTAACACAGTTCTTTGCCCAGACGTTTTTACTACTACACTTCCATCAGTTTGGGAGCTGGACTGCAGCAGTGTTTGGTTTTGGCATCCACTCTTAACACGCAAGGTGTTGTAATGCAGGAGCTTTCTTAAGCAGACAGCACAACAAAAGGTGGTCCAGGCTCCAAGTGCAGAAGCACTAATTCTGTTAGAAGACTACCTTTCCACAGTCTTCTCTTTCCTTACTCTGGTCTGTTTTCTCTAGATGGTCCAAGTTTTTGTTTAAAGTGCTTTAACTGGATATCCCAGTTATAGCTTTGACAGCTTGTTTACAGTTTGCATCTGCCTGAGGGCAGTTGAAGGCACATTACAGGATAAGTGAGGTAGTTCTGCTGCCGGGAGAAGGATGTGCTGGTAGGATTACTGAGGTTAAAAAAAAAAAAAAAGAGCCAAGGAGAATGGCATAGCTGGAACTGTACCTTGGGTCTGTAATTTTATCCTATGGGAACTCGTAGTATACCTTCTCCCTCCCACTCCCTGTTTTAACTTAAAGAGAGAAAATTACTGTGTGTGAAAGAGAAAAATACAGCTGGAAATGCTGGCAGAAAAGGCTTAAATTCTTTTAATTGACAGCAAGAGTAAGAATAGTCTCCCGCTTTTTGAGGCGATAACAGATACATGTTGAAAGAACTGTACCGTGGAAATTCCTTTCCCCACTTGCCACCTTTGATTTAGGTGCCAAAACGAACACCTCTCTCTTAGATGACTGAATTTAAGTAGGATGAATCCATTGAATCAATGAAAACATGCCCATCAGTTTTGGTGGGTTTTTGGGTCTGGCCTTTTGGCTTCTAGTTGCATAGCTTTTGTGTTTCTGCCTGTTGATTTGCAGAGTTGGACCTTTAAATGTGATAGAGGAGATGCAGTGAGCATTCTGCAAAACGAGTGGTCTGACTTGGGTTTCTGTCCTGTTTCCTGCATGCCTCCAGCTTTTTGCCCAGGTTTCTTCTCTTTTGACAGGTTTGCCAAGCGCTGCTTTCTGCGGGACACTACCGCAGTCCTGCAGCAGACCCCTGCCCGTACTTGCTGTGATGCTGGTGCGCAGGGAGGCACTGTGCTTTCCCCTTTTTACTACGGGATCCTGTTGCTGTGTTTGCCCAGATCTGGCAAGGAGCTCTGGCTGGGCTGTGGGACCCAGCACTCCCTGCCAAGGAGGGAAGTAAAACTTCTCGTGTCAGGATGACTTTCACACGTGCCTCCGGCGCCGTGCTGCAGGACTGACAAGGCAAGGGCATTGTGCTTTGTTTTGTGTTGCCTGCTGGGTGCCAAGCCTTCAGACAGAAAATGTTTATGAAAAATGCCCACTTTAAATGTTATCTAAGTTCCTCAGGATAGAATTGAAAGTTGTCTTAGTAAACATACTAGTTAGGGTCAAATTCTGGTTTCTTTACCGGGGCAAAGATCTCACCACCATTAGCGAGTCTCTTCTTATGAACTACTTGTAAGAGGGGAAAAAAAATTGCATGATGTTTTTCTGGGGAGATAATACAAGGGTCAAAACTCTCTGGGGAGTTGCTCCTGCGCTGTCTCTATGGCAAAACCTGAGTGAGTTGTTTCAAGCAGGCTCAAGCAAGGGATCTACCTGATCCTCCTGTCTCTCCTTGTGCCTGCTGCCCAATGCCTTCCTGGGGTGCCAGGGTGGCTGAGCCCGGAGAGAGTGCAGAGGGTTACTGCCTGCCTGAGCGGCTTCTGACATCAGGTTAAATGAAGACCAGGCTTTCAGTGGAATGAGTGACATGTAGCAGCCTGCTGAGATGTTGGAGATATCAGGATACAGATTTTTTTTTTTTTTCCTAAGCACATGGCTGTTAATATAAAGAGCTCAGTGTAGACACTAACCATTACACCTAATTTATGAAATCAGGACACTCCTTGCCTGACATTACTTCTGTTTTTTAAAAGTTGACATACTGTGACAGATGGACTTTTGCTCAAATGTTTTCAGTTATTTAAGGAACTACTGATCTCTCATTTCTAGACCAGTGCACTGAAGCTTTGGGGGATCACTGGGAAATACCAGTTGGACACACGTTTTTGTCCTTTGAAATGATGGGTATTCTGGAACTACTCAACTGCTTTAAATCCGTACAGACCAAGTCTGACTTCTGAGTAAAAGTGATGGCATTGTACCAGGTATTGATTTGGTCCCTGGTTCAAATTCCTCTAAAACAACAGGGTAAAATATTCACAGGTGCTTGAGTCCCACTGAGGATCAATAGGAGGCTGTAGGTTCCCAGCTGATGTAGGTGCCTTTGTAAAAAAAAAAAAAAGCTGTTTAACCAAAACATAAAAGAAGCTGTGGCATATCACGTGCATGTCTGTGGCATGCAGAAAATATGTCACACCTGCTTTTTGGCTGTGGCATGTGCCTTAAGCTGAGCCACAGCACAAGGTACACAGCCAGCCCAGGTTGAACCACTGTAGAAAATAGATGTATGTTTGTTCACAGATGCGGCTTTCCTACAACAAGCTGCAGAACCTTAATGATTGGAGGCCTGACCTGGTTCTCCTGCACATGGGAAACTCCCACTGAAGCTCTGCAGGAGTTTTATCTGCAGTAAGGCATCAGGAGCAGAGATATTTTGAATTTCTCTACAGAGAATAGAAAGCTGTGTCTAGGGAAGCCCAGCAGAAGTTGACAGGACTAGCATGCTTGCCCTTATCTTGGCCATGCTGTTTATTTATTCATTGGTTTTGTTCCTTTTAGACTGTAAGCACTCCAAAGTAGGGAACCTCGGTCTCTGTGTTTGTACCTGTCCAGGTACAAGGGCATTCTCTAAACATTGAGGCCAGAGAATAATTCAAGGATCCTGTAGTTGGCACCTAGAAGGAGCAGCATGAATAGCCATGTGCACACCGGGACAGTTCTGCTCTTAGCACATGGTTTGCAGCCCAGTAATTATGCTTCACCCAGTGTCCTCGATGTTGGGAAGGCTTTGGCCATCTTGTTGAGTAATGTAGGTCTTGAACTGCCACAATGATCCTTATTGGAAGCAGAGGGAAATAGAGAAGGGTTTCTCCTGACTTGGTGGTGGTGGATCTTGGGCATAGGCCTTCTCAACATTCAGCACTACTGGAAAGCTCTCACTGGCAGGCAGCTTTCTATTAAGCACAGTTGTTTGCATTTTTGGAATGCTGGGTATCTGTACAAGAAGCTGTGTATAATAATAGAGTTTTTGTTCTGGGCTTAAGGACTATCTCAACGTGGAAAAGCAAATGCAATGACTAAGTGAAAGAGTTCAATAGAAAAAAAATTTAAAAGTGTGTGTGTATACTGGTAAATTCCAGGCACTTTGAAATTTCATTACTGTTTATAGCTCAAGGCAATGAGAAACATCTCACATGTGTAGTGAGTAAATAAATGCAGTGCGCACAGCCCTCTGCAGATATGTTTATCTCACTTTAACATTATACTAAATGTTGTCTGTAACCTCCATAAATACCACAAGAAGTGAAATGGCGTACATGATAATTAAAATGCTGTTTCTGGTGAGAGTCACCCCCACACACACCTCTCTTGCCAGAGGAGTTCTGTTCATGGGCACGTGCTGATGGCTGCACGCAGGTGAAAGCAGCTTCCAGCGCGGGACTTTTTGTGAGCTGTGGTCAGGCTGTCCACATTGTCACGTTTGTTCAGGGAGCTCAGGGCAGAGCAGCTGTAGACTGTGAGGATTTGCAGGAATTTGTGTGAGGACATAACACTGAACATTTAACTGTGGGCTTTAGCCTGTGTGTGCCCTGTTGACTGTAAAGTCCACCTGCAAGAAAATTCTCTTTTTAGACCTTTCACAGAAAGGAAGGATTAAAGGCAAGGTCATAGATAAGGCCTTGTAGAGAACATGTTGTTTGAAAGAAAACTTTTCAGTGGTGCCCTATGACAGGACAAGAGCCAATAGGCACAAACTGGAACACCAAAAGGTCCACCTAAACATGAGGAAACACTTCTTTACCGTGAGGGTGATGGAGCACTGGAACAGTCTGCCCAGAGAGGTTGTGGAGTCTCCTTCTCGGGAGACTTTGAAAACTGACCTGGATGCCATCCTGTGCAACCTGCTCTAGGTGAACCTGGTTTGGCAAGGGGCTGGACTAGAAGATTTCCAGAGGTCCCTTCCAACCCCTACCATTCAGTGATTCTGTGAATAGTGGGGAGCTCTGGATCCTGCCTCCTGTATGGTGTCCCTCTGCAGATCATCTGGTCTGCCCAGCCCTCTGGTTGCTAACTAGGAAGTGGGGAATGATTTTTTTTTTTCCCTGTTTTGTTGAGATTTCAGTTTCTCTGGAGGTGGGACAGCACCATGCTGCACATTCAGGCAACACTTCATCATGAGTGGGCCTGGTTTTGCCTGGAACTACAGATTAATCACATGAGCTTCACCTCAAATCTCTCTACCTGCTTCTAATTTAGCATCTGAATAATTCCTGGGAGTCAACGTCCTGTGGGAAGATTGAGGATCAGATGGCCCTGACGGATCAGGCACGCAAATACATGGCCACCTTCCCCACCCGGACGCTGGTGATGTGAAAGGGTCGACGGACAGAGAAGCATTATGGTTTTGAGAACACTTCACCTCCACTGGGAAATTCCTGTTCCTCTGCATGAGAACTTTTCATGAATGGGAGAAGAGCCTATCTTTGTTGTGGTACAACAGTTGGGAGCAGCACAAAGTGCATTTAGTCACTCAGCATATATATTCTTGTTGGATTTCACCCAACTTAAGAGGATTTTTTTTTTTTAATGATACTCACCTAAATTATTAGGTATTAACTTTGAATCAGTAACTAATGATCTTATGTGAAGACTTATAATAAAGATAATTTTTCTTGTACTTTTTGAGATCAAACAGACCTAATACACCAGTATTGTTATTTCAGTGATGTGCTAGCCAGGGTTGGGGTGTTGTTTTTTTCTCTTTTTTTTTAAATAATAAAAGAGCAGGTACTCAAAGAGATGTATTTTAAATCACTGAACAAAATGCATTGGTGTAAAATACTGAAGTGAAAAGCATTACTACAAACGCTAGTCTGTGCAAAGGGGGAAAACTGGTCAAGATCGTGAATACTCAAACATCTATGCCTCTTGAAAAACTCTTTTCTATTATGGTTCTAGACTATTATACATTGTGTGTTTCTGTTTGGGGGGGTAATTAGCTTGCTTTAAGAAAATATTACTGTATGAAACATAGATTTATGAGAAAAATTATATTTTTATTCAGTAATTTAATTTTGTAAATGCCAAATGAATACTGTGTTTTGCTGCTACAGACCTTAGCGTGTAGACATGCTGCTAGTGTAAAAGGAGCAGTAGAGCTTTATATGGAAAGAAAATAAATGTTGATGTTAGCTAATTGACTATGCACTAGCATTTCAGACTTTTTTATTTTAATTTTTTTACATCATTTATATTTTTTTCCCCTTTTTTATAAGCAATATTTTTTTGAACACTGTTCCTGGGAGATTTTTTTTTTTGTCTGGATGTGTTTTTTTTGGTTTCTCATTGGTTTGTAACAGCATGCATTGCACCTTCATATGTTTGGGAGAACACTGTCTTGTTCATGTTGTCTGTTTTGTTCTATGTCTAGCTAATAGTTCCCTAACTTGGGTCTTGTGTACTGAATCAGGTTCTTAGAAATACATGGTTCTTTGTACTGCCATACCCAATCTTTATTGATATGGCAAAACACTGATTTTATTTTATTTTTTTATTGTTTTTTTTTTTTTTTGTAACAGCCTCTGACTCTGCTGCCTTAATAGCATTTGGTGCAGCTTCACCTGCACTTAATTTTTTTATACGACAATGTACTGCCTTGTAGATAAATAAAGTGTGTTCTTTTTTACTTAAACCCACATGGTCTCCTAATCTTGTTTGTCTTTAGTGTTTTGGCTGTGTTGTTATAGGCAACAATCAAGCCAAGAAGGTTTTTTCCAGCACACTTAGATAAGTAAGTAATAGAGTTTTGCACACCATAAATAGCCTCAACATCCTTGGTTCTCATTGATTGTTACAGAAGTGGGAGGAGCACGGCACAAAACAGTAAGCATTGAGCATGTTGTGGACTCAGGGCACATCTCTAGTGACACAAAAGCCAGGTCAGCTTCAGCCAGTGGGAGTCTTTCTGCACCTTTTGTGCAGAATTTCTGTTCTCCCAAAATACTGGATAATTTATTTCATCATTTAAGGCCATCAGATCAGGATCCAGCTGAATACAAGCAAAATACTCTGGATTTCCTATACTCTAGAATGGATTTTTTCCACACCTGTCTTATGATACCAAAGGTGAGGATACACTTTGCAACCTGGAGCATTACACTGCACAGAAAATAATTAGTGGACCTGCAAAGCCTTGTGTGATGTAAGGTCTGAGGACATTACAATTCCAGGAACACTAGAGAGTGAACGCAGTTGACAACAAAACAAAACAAAAAATGTAACCTTCCAGGATAAAAATTGTGGTTTATTTATTAGCTTGATAATTAACTGTTTCCTGAAATCTAAGTTGATGCAAGTGCTTCAAAGTCAGACATATTTTTGAGAGACAACTTCAGCTCCATGAAGGAGTTAATTCCAATTTTAAAGCTTGTGTAGCCAACCCCTATGGGCTGAGAGCACCTAGAAGTGCCTTTCAGTCCATTTTACTCCTTCCCCAGTAGTCTGCCTGGTTTTCCTAGCCCAGGCCACAAACTGGCCCTCATGCCATGATGTGCACAGAAAAGAAGGAGCAAAAAAGGCTTTTTCCACCCTCTACAAGGTCCCTTCTCATGTGCATTTGGCTTTCAGCA